ATAAAATTCAGAATTCAGCTGGCTAGATGTTATCAAGAGTACTAAAACCCTTTTCAACATGAGTCTTACAACTAAGGCTAAATACTTTAACTTAAACTTAAATACATGCTCGAATAGGCTGGTATCGGCCAGTATCGGAATCGGATCGGAAGTCCAAAAACAATATCGGTATCGGATCGGAAGTGCAAAAACCTGGATCGGGACATCTCTAGTCTGAATAAAGAAAATACATTAAATTTTTAAATTGAAAAAAAAAAAAAAATTGCCAAAAATTGCATCCTGTGTTATCTCAGAGGAGTTGACACTTATATATCTGTATTCCTATACATCCATCAGTAGTTAAAGGTCAAGGGTCAGCAAATGCAAATTCTACCTGTAAAACAATAACAGCGTAATTGTCACTGTCTGATCTGAAGCCTCATTTGGAGCTTCTAAACTGGCTTTTGAAAAACTTTGATAATTTGCTGCTAATATTACAGATTTTTTTAGAATAAAAAACTAGCAGATGTGCACAATCAAACAAAAATTAGAATTACAATTATAGAGCAATCAGTATTATAAAAAAGCCAACACTGTTTCTGAATAGATACATTGTTGTATTAGTTAAGTTCTGTTCCGTTTATGTATCTTTCCTTGAAAATATGAAATGTCCCATGCTCCTGAATGCACCATAGCTATCTGACGCTTGTGAATGCATCACACTGGTCTGTGAACGCTGTGCTGTGTTGATGCGCGTTTGATTTTCCGCTTCAGACAAAGCTCTGCAGTTTCCAAACTCACGTCGGCATCACTGTTAATTGTTTTGTGTGAAAAACAAGAGACTAGAAAAAATAAATCAGCCGTAACTTGGTCAAAATCTTTGGATTAAATGTTGTTCATAACACCCATATATTTTTTAAATGAATCTTCCATATAATCACAAATGTTTTCCCCAGGAGAGGAATATTTAAAAGTTTTTTATATCATTAATATAACAACAAGTAGCTCCATTGGTCATGGTTTAATCAGTTTCCCTCATTGATATGTGGTTGTACAGAGCGAGGCGCGCTCCAGCTACTGGGGATGCATATTCAGCAGGGATGCACTTTTCCGCATAACACTGGACCGCGGTCCGCTAATCCGTGACCTCTGCATTAAACCGAAGCCAAAAGTAACGAGTAACAGTTGTTTTAATAATGTAAGGAATAGAAAGTACAGATACTAGTGAGAAAATGTAATGAGTAGAAGTCAGAAGTAAGAAGAAAAATTAGTAATGCAGTAAAGTATAGATACCTAAAAAGTGTACTTAAGTACAGTAACGAAGTATTTGTACTTCGTTACTTGACACCTCTGTTATTTATACAGAGCCTCAGTGTTTTGAGTCCAGTTCAGTTTGTTATTCAGGTGAACACTTAGGTACTTGTAAGAGACCACTATCTCAATGTCCCTTCCCTGGATGTTTACCAGTGATTGTGGGGTGAATCTGCTTCTGCGAAAGTCCACCTCTAGCTCCTTGGTTTTCCCTGCAGTAATCAGGAAGTGGTTATGCTGGCACCAGACCCTTGGTCCACTGTCTCTGAGTCGTCCCCACCTGTGATGAGGCCAACTATGGCAGAAATGTCAGAAAACATCTGGGTAGTTGATGAGGATGTCTGGAGTGCAGAGGGTGATGATGAATGGTACCAGCAATGTTCCCTGTGGGACCCCCACACCACAAACCAACCTATCTGAAACAAAGCCCTGTGTCCTCAAATATTGAGGGCGGCCAGTGAGGTCGTGCAGAATTCACTTGGACATGTACTGGTCCACTCCTGACAGTAAAGCATGGCAACAATAAAAAATGTAGAGATCAAAACTTTTATCAGATTCTTTGGATCAGACTGGTAAATCATTCTAATTCATGTTTTAATTTTAGTTTTTTTTTTTTTTTACTGTCAGTATGCACTGTGCTCAGGCATGAAGGGGCGGAGAAGCAAAAACATCCAACAAGTTCCTGGGGTCAAACTGCAGATGGCTGTGTTGAGTAAACAGTATCTAAATCTTTGTATTGCCTTCTCCACCTAAAACTGCACTCCCAGGCTGCGCCTTTTAAAATCATTTGCAGTATCAAAGTTATTTGTAAATACAGCATTTTTTCTTGAATTGAGGAGGTAAATGAGAGACTTCGCCAATTTCGACTGCAACTAATGATTATTTTTAAATTGATTAATCTGTCAATTATTTTTTTTGATTAATTGATTATTAATCTGATAGACAAAGGAGGTTGTTTGTGAAATTAAACTAGGTGAAACTAAAACTTTTCCATTAAAGCTCTGGATTGAGCATATTGACAAATGAAAAAAAAAAAAATCTTAAATGCAAAATATTTCTATATTATTTTACAATTTTGATATAATTACTGCTCTAAGTGGGTTGATCTGTCAGCTAAAGGCATGTTCTAGAGTAGCGTCTCTATACTCCAGTTAGCGATTAAGCGATCACTAAAATAGTTGACAAGTAGTTCAATAATTGATTCATCTTATAAATTGTTTCAGCCATATTTCCAATGGAACAACACAATGTACACAAACAATTATTAAACAATTATTATTATTATTAAATATTAAACATTAAAACAATTGCATAGTCGTATTTCAAGTGCATATTTATCTCATTTTAAGAGTAAGAAATTCATTCCATTTGCAAATCATGTCATTTACCTATTCAAATTAAGGGTAAATACAATTTATTTAAGAAAGGTGTACTTATTTCTGTATCGTCATTGCAGTGCATGCAAAGAGTTTTTTTCGTTTATTAATTATAAAAGCTTTCTGAATTCTTTATACTTTAATTATTTTTAATATCAATTCAGTTTATCTCTATCTTGTGCTTATTCAGTTTACATTTTGTCTCAAGTGACTCTACATAAACAATTCAAACAAATCATCCAGACACATTGGTTAAAGTTTTCCATCCAAGAAACCCAGCTGGCTGCATCAAAGGTTGGCTGTATCAAAGGTTGGCTGCAGCCACAAAACAGAACTAAGGATTGAAGAACAGGGGTCAGTTTCATGAAGCAGGTTTACCAAAAACTCTTAAGGTGTCCAAACCTGAAAACAGAGAAACTGACTTTTGTGGTGCACAAAGAGAGTTTATTCATCCTTGTTTCAGTCACCGCAGTAACATTCTCGCCAGAGGTAGCAGTAGCAGTTTCCTCTGTCTCCGCTTGTTCTTTGGTTTGTTTAATATGAGCGAGATGCTGATCATTTAATTTTTATTTAGTTATATTTACAGTACATGAAGAACTGCTGATATAATTTTCAGATTACACATAAATGGATTAATGAATTCCATGGGGGGAAAAAAAAATTACTTTAGGGTTAGGATTAAGATTGACTCAATGATAACAACCTAATGAACCTACTGGCACAATCTAAAGCCATTGTATGGGATTGATAGCTGCTTATAACGGCCATTTATTGGAATGATAACATCCAAAGCGTGGCTGCAAACTGCCACTTATTTACTAGAGTAAAAGAAGACTGAATCAACATGAGGGGGGATGCATGGGATATATATATGCATGAGATATATATATATATATATTAGAACTATAAAATATATAGTTATATATAACTATATAGATCTATATATTAAAACAACATTTTTAGATTTCATTTTCACCTGTTGTCAGAAGATTTCCCCTAAATACATACATTGATCCACTTCCATTCAAGAAATAATCCTGTAATATTTTCACGGTAACAACTACTATGGCAAGGCATTTTGATATGTACTAATTTTGCTTTCAAGTTTACTTTACTTTCATTTCAAAGAAAATGAAATTCTCAACATCTAGAATAAACATTCTGGATGTCTATAACTTAATTTCAGATCTCTATATTCCTAATATTACTGTTTAGCATTTGTATTATTTTAACTATTACTTTAACAATCCACTGGTTTTCCTAAGATGGAAATCTTTGAATTAATTTGACTGTATGATCTGGTGAACTGTAAAGTGCCTTGAGATGACATGTGTTGTGAATTGGCGCTATAGAAATAAAGTGAATTAAATTGAGCTATGAAAAAATGTTTTTCAGATCTCATAAATACATTTTCAGTCAAGCTGATAAATGTAAGAACGGTCACTTAAAATGTGTAAACATTTCTAGATATATTAAACTTAATTCTTACTAATATAATTTTTTTTTTTTTTTTTACTTTCTAAAATTCAGTTTCTGCTACAAAAATGTAACTTAGAAAATATATTTTTTACAGTTAGGTCCAGGAGTGTGATTTTGATGAGGAAGAATCTTATTTTAGGGATCTACAAATTGAGCCCACTTAACATGCATATAACTTATGCATTACCTCGAGCAACAATCTTCTCCTTCGCAACCTTCCTCTCCTTTGCAGCTGTAGCATTTTTCTCAGTCTTTTAAACACAATCACCTTTTTATTTTAAATTATTTTTGCATTTCTGCATTAAAATCTCCTTTTCCAGTGGGGTGAAATAGGCACTTCCTGTTGAGATGGTCCCTCATTGAATCAGTGCCCCACTGATAATGGCTTTTCATACTTGTTGCGCATGCGCTTGACTCTGAGTGGACCTAGTTAAAATTAATTGAGCTAATTGATAGCAGCCATTGTGAAACAGAACACAGATTCTGACTTTTGGCTAGATCAATTTAAAGTTGCAGATTTGAATTTTGATTTGTTACACCTGCTTTTTAAAACAGACCCCAGGCCTAACACTTTCATCTCTAATGGAAGTTCCATGATGGAGTCGCAGAACAGAGAGGCAGGACAGAGGTAGCTGCCATGACGAGAAAACGTAAAGAGAACATAAACTTAGCCCTCTATGGCATTCTGTTGCCCTCAGGCAACAAACCACTATTTTGGCCCACACACGCCCCTTTAAATTTTTTTAAGTAAAACATCACATTAAAAGTCTGATGATATGTCTGTGACCAATGAAATTTGAGCTAGGCGTGGCTTTGACCTTTGTCTTGGAGTGAAACAATCCTTTTTTGGACCGCAGCAGACTTGGACACACCCCTAGCAGAAGGTAAGATAAATTTAACTTTTTTACATGTTTAAATTTAAATAATTTTGTATAAATAATATCTGTGATGTGCATGAATAAGTAAAAAAGCATATTTGATTGAGTAAAGACACCTTTTGTCTTCATTTATATACTAAAATGGCAGTTTTTCATTCGTTGCCTCAGGGCAACATTGTGCAGTTAGACCACTTTTGTGTGAACTATAACATGCTCATGGATGGAGATGTGTAGGTATGTGTAGTTATCAACATAATAAATTTTTTTCTGTACTATCTACTATTAATCACAGAAAATGGATGCACAAAGATTTTATGGGCGTAAGGAACATGATCAAGTGGTTAGGCTCATTCCTTCTGACAGTGAGGACAGTGAGCTTGAGGAGAGTGACAGTGAGGAAGAGTGGACTCCAAAATCAGGTTTGAGGGAGAGTTGGGAGATCATGGTTCAGTCAGTAGAGTAACATACTGTATGGAATGAGCATGTATGTGCGTTTGTACATCAGTGAGTAAAGAGAGGTATATATGACCTATTCTAATTTTATGCTTACTGGTTTCTTTTGAAAACAGATGACCTGCCTGATGACAATGAGTCTGTGGATGAAGAGGAAAATGAAGATGATGAAGTATTACAGGAAGCTGTTCCACGCTTACCCCGTTGGAGAACACCCCACAGTGCCAATATCACTGACTACCCAGAATGGCAGGCCAGTCTTCCAAAATCAGATCATATCAATTCCCCCTACAAATACTTCAAGATGTTTTTTTCTGAAGACATTCTGGAACTAGTTGTAGAGCAGTCAAATTTATATGCCATTCAGTGTGACACCAACAAGCCCCTTAACCTCGCTAAAAAAGAACTGGAACAATTTATGGGTACAGCAGTATACATGTCATTGTTTGGATTACCAGGCACCCGCATGTTTTGGAACAAAGCCACCCGAGTGTCCCAGGTAGCTGACACCATGGGACTAAACAGATGGGAGTTCATTAAAAAATCCCTGCACTTCAACAACAATGAGGTGAGACAACAAGAAAATATTGATCCACTCCACAAAATCCGACCACTGGTCACTCATCTTACCTCAAAGCTGCAGACAATACCAATGAGTGAGAAGTTGGCTGTAGACGAGCAGATGGTCCCATTCAAGGGAAGAAATACACTCAAGCAATACCTGCCAGCTAAGCCAAAGAAATGGGGCTACAAGATATTCATCTTGGCTGGCTCTGATGGTGTCCCGCACAATTTTGAGATTTACACAGGGAGAGTTGTGCAACCACCTGAGCTGCCAGATGTAGGAGCAAGTGGCAATGTTGTCCTCCGTCTGGCCCAGCCAATACCCAGACAGCAGAACTACAAGGTGTTCTTTGACAACTGGTTCACGAGTGTCCCTCTCATTCTCACACTTGCTCAGCAGGGAATTCACTGTACTGGTACTGTTCGTAGCAACAGACTACCAGGTGTCAACTTGATGTGTGATACTGAGTTGAAGAGAACTGGGCGTGGATCTTTTGAACAGAAGATGGCCACGGTTGGCGAAACCACCTTGCATGCCTTGAAATGGTATGATAACCGTTCAGTCAGTCTTCTCAGCAATTACATTGGAGCACACCCAGTCACCGACGTTGATAGGTGGGATGCCAAGCAGAAAAAAATCATCAAAGTTCCCTGTCCTGCTGTGGTGAGAGAGTACAATAAAAATATGGGTGGAGTGGATCTGCTGGACTCCCTCATTGCACTGTACCGCAACAAAATCAGGTCGAAAAAGTGGTACCATCGGCTGATGTTCCACTTTATCGACATGACCATCGTGACTGCCTGGCTGCTCTACAAGAGAGACTGCAGCAGCACTGGGATGAGAAAACAGGAACAGATGAGGCTTTATACACTCAAGTCGTATATTGCAGAAAGCTTGTGCAAAAGTGGCAAGAATCTGGAGCGCAAGAGAGGTCGTCCCAGTTCCACAATTGCTGGGGAGTACGAAGAGAAGAGGAGAAGAGGACCCACTACACCTATCCCAGTCCCTGATGTGCGTCTGGATGCCACAGCCCACTGGATGGTCATGGATGAAAAGAAAGGGAGATGCAAGGTACCAAGATGCACAGGTACACCTAAAGCCAAGTGCCAAAAATGTGACGCCCACCTTTGTTTCACATCCACCAGCAACTGCTTCATGAGGTTCCATACAGAATAATACAAACTGTACTTTGTAAAAAAGAGAAACACAGAGCCATTCAGTACCCCACAGGAACATGTATTTAGAAACATAAACACACTGCAGCTAATCTCTAATGCACTAATTAATAAACCATTTGTGGCCGTTTGTTGAAAGGAAACTTGTTGAAATTGAAATAAAACTTGAAATAAAACTTCTTCTAATGTATTTATTGCTTGTTTGTTCATCATTCCACTTAAAGAAAACCTTGGCGTTTTAGTACCCTTATAGCATATTGTTGCCCTGAGACAACAAACCAAAATCTGGTGGGGGGGGCAGGGTGGAGCACATTTTCTGATTGATATTTTATAAAGACCCCCTCAAGCTCCCAAAACTAGGGTGAAATATTTTTTTCCTCATAAAATAAAAATTCATGCCATAGAGGGTTAGAGGTTGAACTAACAAATAATTAGACGTATATCGTATGCTAATCCGCTTCCATTGGAAGTATTCATTTTCTTCTCTTTGGGTTCTACTTTAATCTCAATTCAAGTAGAACCCAATTCAATTCAGACTGTTTTTCTTCCTTATTTCAGAACCATTTTTGAGATTTTTTTTGGCAACGGCTTCAGCCCTGCTACCTATTCACTATCTTTTTACATAATGATTTTCAGGTTTAAACAGAGGCTTTAACTCCATCAATCTTTGTTAAATGATTCATACACAAAATCATTAAATGTGTGCCGCCCCTCCCGCCTCCCCCTCTTATCAGAGTTATGAGCTTTTCTAACAGCAACAACTTTCACTACATCAAACAGAACCTGGTCCATGCTTCTAATCACAGGCAGCTGCACTAATGAATAAAAAGTGCATTAAATCACACTACTGCCTCTGTAACAATACGATGCACCTTTTTGAGTTGAGACCACCCACTGCTCCTATATGGGCTAAAACCCCAAGACACCATTGTGGTTAAATGTAGAAAGAAACAAGCTGTGAGACTGCAGATTGAGCTAATAAACTTAGCTAATTTGCTACTATAAACTTTTATATTCATATGGTGCCTCTTCATTTAAGAACCAGCGGTTTACTTTAAACTCAGGCAGACTTGTTAGCAGGAGTAATTACATCTGCACCAATCAGTGACAGAGAGAAAGCTTTTAAGAATCTCGTAAATGTGGTGTGAAGTTTTGGTTATTGCCTTCTAATTAAGCAGGGAGACAGTGGTCTAGTTAAAAGAACAACTCCAGGGATGTCCTGTGTGTCTGTTTTCTCCAGACATGTCGCTTATGTATTTTTGTTCCAGATTTGACAAAGAATTGATTTAATGCATGTTAATAAATTAAACTGGAATCTGACTGATGATCACATATGCTGTTTGAAAGTGATCTTGTTGAGCTTACTGGTGATCCTCTCTTTATAACTTTGGTTATCTGAACGTAATGTTCCATGTTCGTCAAACATGCTGCAGTGCATGAATAAAGGCATTTTTAATAAAAAATGTCTTCGTTTAAAAACAAACAGCTGTTTTTTGTGTTTTGCTTAATTTTTTTCCATCAGCAGCTTTGCTTTAGCCTGTTAACTGTGACAGAATATCACGAGCTAAAAATGGCTGTTAAAATTGCTTGTGAGAATATTTGATTAACTCATAGTTGGAGAAGAGCAGCACTTTGCGTCATCATAATAGCATGCTATGATTGGAAGAATGAGGGTTTCTTTGAACACATACCCACCCCGACTTCTGACCCACATCAAAATACCCACAGGATTTCAGAATTGTGGGAGAATTGTGGGGGGAAAAAAGACAAACTGCAGTACAAAGTTTCAGTTTGAATCTAAATGTTTCAGTTATTTTTTTTCTCTTGTGTCTCATTGTGTAAACTTAGTAAAGTGTCCCCCGTAGAGACGACCAAGAAGATCATGCTTTATATATCTGTGAAGATTCTCAGTCATCCATGTCATGGTTAAGCTTTAAAAAGTTGACTCTAGGCAACTGGACTAGAAGTTTTCTAGAAGATGTTTCGCCTCTCATCCAGGAAGCTTCTTCAATTCTAAATAGTGGTGGGGAGCACTGAGATTAATATTCTGTAGGTCTAATTAGGGAAAAATTCTTGTTACATCTACATTTTATTAATCTCAGTGCTCCCCTCCACTAGTTAGAACTAGTGTTACACCGATACCAGTATCAGACGGGGCCCTGATACTGCACTAAAATGGTGGTATCGGTATCGGCGAGTTCCAACAAATAGGACACCGATACCATTTTGAGAGCCAAACTTGTATTCATCTATTGTCACCCATTCCAGGTATGCAATAAAAAATTCTACTGGATTCACTTTGTATTAGTCTGCTTGACAAAGGTAGGTAGCAGCTTGACAAAGCCCTGATGGCAATTATTTTACAGTAGTATGCAGTTCTTCATATATACACACACACATCAATTTCATACAGATGGTATCTGTATCGGCCAAAACTGCACAGCCAGGTATCGGTATCAGGGCCAAAAAATCGCATCAGTGCAAGACTGGTTAGAACTGAAGAAGCCTTTTGGATGAGAGGCAAAATCTCTTTTAGAAAACTTCACGTGCAGTTGCCTAAACTGCACTTTTTCAAGTATTGCTTTATGTTTACTAACGCATGGAAATCTAAGTTGACCTAAGCCAGTAGAAGACACGGATTTAACCATATCACCACCAATAACAAGAAAATAATAGTTAATCAACAAGAAACAAAAGAAAAAACTGATTACAGTTTGCAAATAAAAAGGTATGTCTTTAAATCAGACTCTGTTATTTTAGTTTTATCAGTAGACTATTCTGAGAAGCTTCTGGAAGAAAATTAAGAGGTTTAACCAAATCATCCAGTTTGAAAGACAATTCAGACAGCAGGAAAGTAAATTAACTTTTGAATTTGGAGAATTAATTCAAGAAAAAAGTTCGGTTATTTCTCGTATGAATTAATACATTTGGAAATCATAACTAGCCAAAAAAGTATACATTAATAAGACTCCAAAGTGGTGATTGGAAATGGCTTGGTAGAAAGTATAAATAAATAACTAAAAACAGCAGAAAATTCAGCCTTTAACAAATGGTTCTTATTGCCTGTTGAATCCAGAAACGGTTTTCTGCGACTTGAATGTGACCGGCAGCTGCCTGTGCTTTGGCGAGGCCGCTCGTCCGTCATCACTCCTCCCACACTTTCAGTGTCACGCTTTAAATTTGAACCCATCAGCTGTTTGCCACCCTGCATCGCCCTAATACAAACACAAGCAAACAAACACACATGAAGTGTCGAAGTGCACATAGACAATGACCAACCATGCCCACCAGGCACACTAACGTGTGTGAACCCTCAGACACACTTAAAGCCCACGCGTCCAATGCATATGCAAATCAATCCATCTGTTCTCACTCCACACAAGCTTTGACATGTTCACGCGCCCTCTTCGCTCTCACATTCACTATGTGTGGCGTCACCAGTCACTGTGTCAATACTGCGTGATTGACATAGACTGTCTCTACACCAGGCCTTTGAGATTGTTGCACTGTTGGAGACAATAAAACAAAATAGGAATATTCATCTGATGGATTGTCAGCGTCCACCTGGAATAATACATGCCCAAAATGCCGTTAGCTAAGCCCTCCACTGTGTCCTCATTAATTATAAGGCATAGAATGTCAGGAAAAAACAAAACAAACAGACAGCAGCAAATTGGTGTTTTAAACTGTCAAATGGAGCCATTTGTGGTTTTATATTAGCACAATGTTTAATCTGAAGTGTTGAATTACAGTGTAAATAAACAGCAGCATATTCACCTTGCATTGATATGGAAAGCAAGAGCAACATTTTAATATATTGGACTGGTTTTATGTCCCTGGGTTCGGGCTGCTGCTGGATTTAGCAGTAATGCAGTGTTTTAGAGAAGGGCTTATCAGCAGCAGCCCAAGGAATTAGGAATCCTCCATTTGTCACAATCCTGAGAAAAGAATAGACTACATACTTGAATTTTTGACTGATTTACTGTCAGTACATGCCTGGTAGTGGGGTGAAAAGTGGACCTGACTTGCCAAGGCCCACGTAGGAAAAGGGGCCCATGAAACCTACTAGTTTTTTATATGTTTTTTTAAGGATTTGGGCTCTCCAAAAAAGTGTTGTCATAATTTATTTAAAATGTATATTGATAACATCAACTTAGAGAAAGAATTTTGTCACAGTCCATCCAGCCCATTATGGAAGTGCAAATGGTTTAGTCAGTCCAACAACAACTGGTGACATGTGTAACATCAGTGAGCCCAGATTGAATGACCTGTGGGCTAGACATCATGCTCCTCAAAAAACTTAAATCATGGCATAAAAAAGGAGAAGAAAGAAAAGGAAAGAAAGCAGAAAGAGGAGATGCTGCTGACTGCTTTCTTTCCCGAAGGTGTTCCAAGTTTTCTTGTTATGCAAAGTCCAATTAAAGTTTACTCCAGACAGCTACCGTCATATGCTGTCAACCAGGCTGTTTGCTGTTATAAGTGTAAAGACAATTATGGGCCAGCTAACCTTAGTTGTTAACATAAACCAGTTTCAGAAACTAACAGTGGCGCTTGATCAGGCGCAGCAGGTGAAGCAGTTGTGATCGGTCCTGGTGGCTCTTCTGACAAGGTGAGATCATTATTTGAGGATTCCGGGAAGAGCAAGAGCCCTCTTGTGGATGCTTATTGTTATGACTTTTTTGTTGACACTTAAATCTCTCTCCATCCCTAATCAAAAGTTAACCCCATTTGAAAGACAATCTGTCAACATTATAAGGAAATACACTGCGATACACTGCAAAAAATGATCTAGAAATAAGTACAAAAAATCTTAAATTAAGTGTATTTACCCTTTTTTTGAGTAGGCAAATAAAATTATATTTTTACTATAATAAGATCATTAGATAATATACTCTTAAAATAAGACATTGTAATTGTTTTTTCTTATTTTGAATTTAAATTGTCTCTATCCATTGGTAAAGTGTCTCACTTTCCTCCTCAATTCAAGACAAAACGCACTTA